CTTGGCTGGGATGATGTAGTTGGGGCTGGTCCTGCTTAGAGCAGGGGGTTGGACGAGATGCGACCTCCTGAGGTCCTTTCTGACCCTCATTTTCTATAATTTCTGATTCTGTCCCAAGCTCTACGGAGTGGACCTCACCTATGTTTATCCTTCTTCCTGCAGTGTGTGGGACAGCAGAGGTGGCAGATATTCTGTTCCTCATTGGAGGATCCCAGGCCCTTGGGGACAAGGACTTCCGAGCAATCCAAGACTTCATCGACAGCGTCATCCGGACCTTCGCAAGCGTGGTGCTGGGGAAGGCGGGCGTTCGGCTGGGCGTGACACTTTATGGTGAGAAGCCAAGGTGGGTTGACCCTTCATTTCCCACTGGCATGCAGAGTCTCTAGAGCACTGGGTCGCAACCTTCTTGAGACTCAGGGGCCCCCTCAATAGACTTGGGAAATGACAGCTCTTGTTCTTGAATACAGAAAAATACCAGGGCGATGCTTCTGTTGCAAAGCATCAGAAAGACCACAACAGGCCAGAGTGGTTTTGACACCCTGGACTGTGATTTGAAATCTTTGCATTTATCTTGTGGATCACGTGTAGGCGTTTGCACACCTCCCAGTGCTGATATTGTGCGGCACCCTGCATCGCCCTTTAAAGGACTCTGTGACCCCCTGGTTGAGAATCGCTGCTCTAAAGCTTTCATCTCTGCCTGTGTCTGAAGCTGGGGGCTTGTCAGCGTGGCTCATAATCCACTAAAAGGCCCACTGCAGTTTAACAAGGAAAGATGCCTTCGGAAATGCTGGGGATGGGAGTAGAAGATCCCATCAAATGCCAGAGTCCTGGCAGCCTTAGCAGCACCTAGGTATGGTGGTGTCCTTGTGTGGCAGAATGGCTTGTAGATAGCCCTGAAGGCATGTCCATCACAAGCCCGTACCTGCTCATCATCTACCCCAGCAGCTGACCAGCTTGCCCCCACAAACTCTGCTGACCCTCAGGATCTGACCCCCCAGACCACCCCTTGCTGCATCTGGGTGCTCAGGCAGTGCAGAAACAAAGCTGGGAAGTCCACCAGCAGCCATCCCATCACTACCTGTTTTCAGGGTCCCACCCTTCTGTACTCCACCGCCCATCTCCACTTCTCCCATAATAAGAGCCAAGCATGGATGGAGAGACAAGTCATTTGCAGATTGCTTCCTAGACAGGCTCCACTTGAGGAATAGGCAGCTGGTTGGCACCCGGTCACTGTTACATGAAGGGCAGCGCAAAGGGCAGGTCCATTAGGGTGTGAGGTTCTTTCACCGACGTGGAGCCCACCTCATTTTCAGAAGTGGGAGAAGCTGCATGGCCCAATCCCTGCTGTGTTTCACAGGGATAATGACGATTCAACCTCTCATTCATGATCCCCTCGTTTACCACTCCCAGGATGGGGATTGAGTTGACATTTGATCGGGATAATGAACCTTTCATTCACGATCCCCTTGTTTACCACTCCCAGGACGGGGATCGAGTTGGCATTTCATCGGGATAATGAACCTTTTGTTCATGATCCCCTTGTTTACCACTTCAGGATGGGGATAGAGTTGGCAGATTCCACCACCATTGAAGAGGTGCTGGAGGCCGTTCGGGACCTCTTGTTCAAAGGGGGAAATGTGAAAATGGGGGACGCCCTGACATTTGTGGCCCGCACAGTGTTCCACCCAGCGGCGTCGAGGGACGATGCAGCAAAGGTGAGAACTGCAGAATGGCCCCCCTGGTCATCAGTATGGAGGCAACCCAGGACCTCTGTCTCTAAATACAGGAGCCTTTGGTGCCTGAGCTGAAGGAACAGGGAGCTGGTGCTTTGGCCTAGTGGTAAGTGGAAGATAATTCCTAGTAGATAACTACCCCTCTTTCACTGAGGATTAAACTACTGTGGGTTAACTTTCATTTACCATGGGGTAAAGGTGTGCACATGGTCAGGAACCACAGAGTACCTGGAGTGCCCGGAGAGTCCTGTCCCCTCTAGCCCCAGGGTAACTTGTTTGTATGTTGAAACACAGAGACAATAGTAGATTGACACTGTGTATGCCTGGATTTGGCACTAGAGAGGGACAAAAAGCCTTGCTGGGTGGGTGACACCACTGCGGGATTGTGTGTACCTGGTCTCGGGCACAGAGTTCAGCAGGGCACGGGGGTGATGAGAGTGCCATTGCTGCACTGCCTTATAGCATCAGCGCTCTCATTTCTGTGGCTTATTGTTTTGACGTTAGTCCTAGACATCTGCTTCCACTAACCAAAAAACCACGTGCTCCCTAGATAGGAAAGGGGTTTTTATATTCCTTTTTGAGTCCAATCTTGTCAGCATGCAGACACTCAAAATCTCCCAGGAGGGTCCTACCCAGAGGAAGGACTTGTGGGATAAAGAGTTGCTGACTTTGGCCATCACTCCAGTCTGGCTACAGATGGACATTGCTCCTATCTGATGGCTCAGTGGGATGATGCTGATGGCCAAGTGTTTGGTGTCTTTGGTGCAGCTGGAATCCCGGGCTTCTTAGTACTTCTGTTATGTATGGGATCGTTGAGTTGAAACCGTTCTCTCTCCTGGGTCAGAGCTCCCTTCCCTCTGGAGCAGAAGGTGCATGGGGCAGGAAGATCGCCTGCCTCTGATACCTGTTCTGCAGATAAGCAAACTGCCTCTGCTTTCCAGGGCTGTCAGCCCGGTTCCTTCCTAATCACACTCTCTAAGGATCATCAGCCAGCAGAGCGTGTCAGTCACTCCTGGTACACGCTGCAAATTGCTCATGTTCAACACCTTGTTATCTGGCTGTAACTCTGCTGCTTTGCAGATAGTTATTTTAATAACCGACGGGGACTCTGCCGATTCTGTTGAAGATGCAGCTGTAGCACTGCAGGACGCAGGAGTTACAGTGTTTGCTGTGGGTACGTATAGTAGTAATGACGACCTCTTTGCACCTCACCCAAAGACAATCACATGTACAAAACAGGCTGTTCACCAGTGAGTATTGGAATATAGCATGGAATATGTGCCGCTCAGTACTGCATGCATGCTACCAAATCCTATAGAAGAATTGAGCAGAGGACAGCAGAGAGGTCTGCATTAGAGCAGGGTGAGTTGTTTGGGTTTTTTTGATGAATAGTGTGTTTAAAAATCCAGTTGGGTTGAGCAGAACTATTCATTAACTCAGGTCAAAGGTCAACACCAGCATATAATTTCTCTCTAAAAAACCAAACAAAAACAAAAGTGTCCCCAAAAGCCAAGCCATTTTGCACTCGCCTTCTCAAAGTGATTTTTCATTTGCAGATGGTGGTTTGCAACCAAATTGGCTAAAATTAATCTTAAAATGTAAAAAAGTTTCACTCTCCTCCCAAACCAAAATCAACTCCTTTGTTTGAAGTTGGGCAAAACATTCTGTTTGACCCCAAAACCAAACCTTTTTTTTTGTCCAATTTGCTCTTTTTTGGTTAGGAAACAGCATTTTTGGTTCAGGTCAACCCGAAGTAACTTTTTAAAAAATCTTAATCTTTCAGTTTCAACTGCGCGCACAGAAATTTAATTATTTGCAGTCCAGACTGTGCCAGGTAATAGCAGTACACTGCTGAATACCCAGCATGGTTCTGTGTCCCTTTTCAGCTCATTTTGGAGGGGACCTTAGTAAGGAGTGAAAAGCCCTCTCTGTTGGGGTGAAAAGGGATGTTTCATTTACTCCCATGCAACACAAAAGGTGGTCAGAAGGGGCAGATGCAGGGGGGTGCAGTGGTGCATTTGCACCCTGCTTTGATTCCTGCTTCACCCAAACCTTCAAACCAACTGCCTGGAAGGGGAAGTGGCATTTCTATTCAGGCAGCAGTGGGTGAGTCACCTGACTTGTGGCTCATTGCCATCTCACTGATTCTTGCTAATCTCTCTCCACTCCACAGGTGTTAATGACCCTCTCTCTGTTTTAATGGGCTCGATGTTCCACTATTCAAACTATCCTTTCTTTTGCAATGCTGCTGTTAGCCATTCCTGGTAATGCGTCTTTTCTGTTTCACAGCCCTGCAGACTGGTTTTTAGCTCCCGCTAAAAATCTTCTCTCAGGCCTGGTGACATTAACTCAGGTGAACATTAACCCGGGTGTGGAAATGACTGGCAATGGAGTGCTGGATGCACTGTCAAGATGCTCAAGAAGGCTAGATTTTGTTTTATGACTCTGAATAAGAAAAGCACATTTAACTCTAATGACTGCAGGACTAATGAAATGATATATTTTGGCTATTTTTACTGAGGTTGCTGCCTTTTTTTTAAACTTTACATAGAATTTAGCAAATGAGAGCACATTCTAATAAAGCTACATTTGCTTTTGCTTTGCTCTTCGACTGAGTAATACCCAGCCCCTAAAAGCTTCTAGTTTTCCTTTAACGTAAGACAAACGTGTTGTGCTATATGGGATGATGCACCACACTATCTGCACCCGCCTTTTCAAAATCCTAAATCCGCTTGTGGGTCAGACATTGCTATTCTAGTTGGGTAACGGTGTCCCCGTGCTCTGCACGGGAGTGTGAGTGGAGACTGAGACCTGCTTTCTTTCCCTGCATGCTTAGGAATTAAGAACGCCAATAAGAGCGAGCTGAAGAAAATAGCTTCAGAGCCCACGGAGGAACACGTGCTTTATGCGGAGGATTTCCACCTGCTCCATAACCTGTCCCCCAAACTCTCCCGCAGGCTGTGCTTCACTGCCTCAGAGCCCCCACGGCCGGCCAAGATGACTGTGAATGGTAAGTCTGGGCTCCCCTATGCCATTCCTTGAATCAGCCCCTGTTGCCATCCCGAGACTCCTACACACATCTGGATCCTTGCATCTGGGCCCCTACACCCCATCTTTTCACATCTGTGGCCCTTGAAGGGCAACCAGATCCTGATGCACCTGGCTTTGTTGTTCAGGAGGCAGCAGTCACGTATCTTCAGCTGCGTTTAGCTTTCTGCAGTCCACGTGGTGACACCAGGTCATGGAGACGATCCACCTGCAAAGCGCAGCATGGCAGGGGAAGGCACTGGGTGGAATAGTGGAAAGTAGCTGGAAAACCCTTTTCCTGGGACATTAGCTCCAACCCATGCAGAGGGTGAGCTTAGGCAAGAGGACCTGGGGGAGTATCTGTGCGCTGATGCTTTGCCCTACACCCCAGAGACATCTCAGCCACCAGCGTGCCTCCGTCTCTGAGTTCTGGAGGAGCTGTGCCATTTTCTATTTCCTTCTCCAGTCTTTAGGACCATCCTGTTGAATAGTAATTCCCACCCTATAGCAGCATCCTACCTATGGCTAGAAATGAAGAGAGTGGAAGGCACCCTTGCTCTGTTAATTTGTGCAGGTTTTTAGGATAATTTCTGTGGTCCTTTGGTAAATGCCTGTAGAAGGGTTTTGCCCTCTCTTCTGTTCTCTGTAACGTGTACAAGCACCCTAGGATGTCTCCATGAGGAGAGGAGGAAATCTTTGGATCCAGGCACAAAAGCAGAGTCCAGATCCTTCTAGCCTGCATAGGAACCGGCTCGCCTCGGTCATGCGTTCCCGGCAAGGCCACCTGTGAAACCAAAATGGCACTTGGGCTCATAAAAGGTCTGGCTGGTGCTGACTGTCTGGCCCTACTCTTCACCAGGCATGTCAGGCAGTTTTTCTTTCCCTGCCTGCTTTTAGCTGAGAGGATCGTTGGCCCTCGGGATCTGCTGGTCACGGAGCAAAGTTACAGCTCGTTGAGGCTGACCTGGACGCCTGCCACGGGGAAGGTGTCGGAATACCTCGTCCTCCAGCGTTCGCTCTCAGCTGCTGGGCAGCCTGGTCCTGTGGACCAGCGGCAGGTAGGGCTGCGCTCACCTTGCACAGAGACTCGCTCCCCTTCCTCCCCCGACACCAAGCTGATGACTTGTGCCTATATGGGGCATTTGTTTTGGCTTTCAGGGGTGCCAAGCGCTTCCAATTGCCACTGGCTTAGGCCCTGGAGCAAGGCCCAGGCAAACATCTGAACTTCTGCTGGTATCCCGTGCAGACCTCTGAGCTATACAAGCTCAATTTCCAGCCCATGACTAATCTGAAAGGCCCAGGTCTAGGTTATCACCTTGGGAAAGCAAGGTCAAATATCTGCCCAAGCCTCATGGGCCCTCAGGGATAAGGCACGCTGATGTTTGAGACTAGTCTCTGCCACAGACACCCCAGCTCACCTTGGGCAAACCAGTTAAACTCTTTTTGCTGCACAGGCCAGAGACCACATTTCTACGCCAGCTGCCCTTTATAGCCTCTGCCATCACAAGCACAACTTCATTACAATCTGAAGAAAACGTGGGAAAAAACATGGCCAAAGTGATCCCTTTCCCAGTAGCAGCCCCTTGCTTTTCACTAGGCACTCGGCCTGAGGCCCATAGAAGTAAATGGAAGGGTTCCTGTTGGATTTAGCAGGGTTTGAGGATTAAGTCTTTTGCCCCCTTGGATTTCCTTGGGCTATCCTCGGAGACTGTCTCCCTCCCCTCCATACTATGTTAATCCTTGGGATGTGAACAGCCCTATCAAAGACCAGACTAGACAGATCTGTTGAAACCCTTTATACCCTTAATTGTGATGAGCAGAGAGGTGGCTAGCCTATTAGTCTTAAAGGTGCCACCACTAGTCTTAAAGGTGCCACCACGTGCTTCTGGATAGCAGAAGACCAGATATGGGGAGCTGACAGAGAAGTTCCTGATCTTTGCCAGAGCAGCTGAGGACATATCCTACTGTCCAAGGGATTCAACTTCTTGCTGACTTCCTAGCAAAACCCTCCCAGTTCCCTTCGCCGAGTTGTGTAGCTCACTGTGTAAAGGACCGGGATGTCGATGGTTTCTCCGAGTGGACCACACTAGGTCAGGGGTTTACCCACGTGGAAGCTAAGGTCAAGTTGGCTATGCATCCTAGTCCAGCATAACAAGCCAAAGGTCAAGACTGAGACATGGTCAGGGCAAGCAGTTTACCACGCTGGGAGGTCCAAGGAAGGAGCAGGCAGGAGGACCCAAGCCAGAGGTGCAGAACCCATGAGGTTTAGGAGCTCCGAGCAAGACAGGGGCACCGTTGCGCAGACAGCTCACTGCAGTCTGATCTGAGCTTGTATAGCCAGCATGGGGGGCCTCTCTCTGATGCACAACAGCCTGATTTGCCCAGTTTCATCCAGCTGGGACCTGGGACTGCATCTGCCCCACTGGGCCCTGACTCATTGCTCACCAGAGCCAGCCTCCGTTTCAAGATCCCTTGCCCAGCAGCGCCCCTCTCTCCTCTTTCCCAGATCGTCGTGGACAGGGACAAGAACACCGTGCTGGTGCCAGACCTGAAGCCCAACACCAAGTATTTCTTCACAGTCCAGGCCATCTACCCAGATGCCCCCAGGGAGTCGATGACTGTCAAAGGGAAGACGAGTGAGTCTGTCCTTGGATATGTCTCCCTTATTTTGCATTTATGTATTGGGGTGTAAAAGAGCTGGCATAGGGATGCTGCAGGTAGTACCAGAAGGGGCTGTTATTGCTTGGTTTAATGACCCAGACACTGGTGATATCTGGTTTGAGGGCCTGAAAACAGGTGAGTGCTCTTACCTCGGGATTTTACAAAGCTCTGTACAATGGGTCCTAGGAGGGCTCAGGGCTGGGCGTACACAGAAGAGTTTGTGGGAATAGAAACTTGGTGATTTCAAGGCATTATTGCGCTGAGCTCCACATATCCCTGCAAGGAAGAAATCCATCCCCGTGATGGGAACAGATAGGCCTATGCATGGCTGTCTGTTCCCCATATGCACTATTCAAGTGGCTCATAGACCCTATCCTGGCCCTATACACAAACCCAACAGAGTAAGCACCTGTTGCCAGGAACGTGGTCCCAGTGCAGCGTGGGGAATCCACTCACGATCATCATCAGACTGGCAGGATAGTGGCTGCTTTTTACACGTCTAACTCACATTTTACTCTAGTTAAGACACATTTTCCATCGCTTTCTTGGGCTTGCCTCCCTGCTATATTGAGTCGTGTAGAGTCCCTCTGCTGTTACGTTGCGCTCTGTCTTTTTGAACCACATTTCCAACATCAGACACAGAATCTAGGGTCAGAAGAGACCTCCAGCACGATCTTGCACAGAAGCAGGTTTACTCCTAAACTATCCCTGTCCAGTGCTTATCCTCCCTCCTCTTGAAAACCTCCCAAGGGGGTAAATTCGGCCCATTCGGTGCTGATCCCACTGTTTCCGTGGGGCCTGGTTTTGCTGGATGGAGCGTGTCTTGAAACAGATGTTTCAGAGCTGCAGATGTGCAAAGGAGCTGCACACATTCAGCTCCTCTGTCTTGCAGGACGCACCTCACCTGCTTGCCCGACAGGCTCCAACAAGAACTGTTCCTTTCACAGCGATACCTAATTGTTCATCTGTTAAAGGGAAGATCTCAGCCAGGCTTAATGAAGAACGAGTTTCAATAAGGCAAATTCACCCGTGCTTGCTAAGAATGAGATGGGAGGTTACTGCAGTAGGAGTGAGGTTGTGGGGTCTCATCTCTTCTTAACCCTGGCATTAAGCCTGGGGAAGTAGCTTGGCATCTAGGTGTTGTGGCTGATGGGTTCACACTGGGCTTCCCTTTGCTCAAGGTTTTCCCCATTGCATGTCTTTATCTTCATGTTCGTGATTGTGCTTGGTCTTCAGTGTAATGTAGCCCGTGGCATCCATGTGGCAGGGCAGGTGGGATAAGAAGGAGCAAAGCTGGGGGTGGAAAACAGGAGAGATGGGCACGCTGTATCCTGCTTGGAAAAAGAGGGCCTGGCACCCCGCTCTTTGCTTTCATGGTTCCTTTAGAAAGAGCTTGCATGGAGACTTACCCCAGAAGGGAGATTGTTCTCCTTTGCACCTTGGTAAGAAAACCAGAGAACAGAAAGAAGTATTTAAGACTGATCCTCAGTCTAACATACCCAGTGCACTATTACGAACCCAAGGAGCTACCAGAAATGCCGCGGGACTGCAAGATCTGTACAGCTGCACATGAAGGTCCCGATAACAAAGCCAGTTTTACATTCAAATGCACTGTACAGGAGGGCAAAGCTAATGAGAAGCTGAGTATGTATCCCAGAGCTCTCAGCACCATTCGAAGCAAGGGTGCATCGTGGGCAGTTTCGGCGCAGTCGCTGTTCAATGCCCAGTTTTGCAAATGAGCGTGCAAGAGGTGACACACCCAGGGCCAACGCATCCTCCCGGGGTATGAAAGGGAGGGTTGGGGATTGGGTCCTGCAGGGTGTTCTCACCAGATTGTCTTCTTATCTTTGGAGATCCAGGGGATTTCTCTGCTTTGTGTCTTTGCTGCGAGTCATGGAAGCAGTGCTGCCCATTAACCTCAGGGTTGTGTTTGTATCTTCAAGCGCCTGTGCCTCCAGTGACTAATTTTCGGGTCATTGAAGAAGGCCTCTTCAGCCTGAAGGTAGCTTGGACTGCTCCCCTGGGGAGGCTGGAAGGCTACAAGATCTACATTCCCCGATGTAAGTGGAGATCTCCTGGGCTTTCAGGTCCGCTTCATGGCTTGTCATGCAGCTGGTTGGTCTTGCAGAGCTGTTCGGGAAGCTGAGGTGGAGTCCGGCCATTTCTGTCTGCTAAGGCCAAGCAAGTGCTTTGTGCTGCAGGGGGAAGGGCAATGGGTTGTCAGCAGCCTGCTGGGATGAGGTTGCATGGGTCTCATCTAATTCATTTGGGCTCTCCAGGTGGAAGTAGGACTTCTTCTACTTTTGAGACATCCAAGTGGAACATGTGCCCGTGTTCCCAAGTGCTCAGCCATCACCAAAACACTGATGGTGTCTCAGTTCATGAAGTGCCTTCATTTCAGCCAGAAAAGATCCCCAGGGAGACTCGTTCTTGCTTGCAGCACATGCTCAGAATTGGTCCAGGATGACCCCCCACCTAAGCTCTGCTGTGGTCCAGTTGTGTCTGGGGTGTGCGTGCACTTGGGAGGAGCCCAGGTTTCTTAGATGGAGGAAAACTGCGCTGAGCAATTGTAGGAAGCTGAGTTTGTGCAATGGGGAAGAGCAGGGCTCTGCTGTGCTTTACCAAGTGGCCTAGTGGTTAGGACATATGCTTGGGAAGTGGCGCTTGACTCCTTCAAGCTCAGCTGCCCAGTGGCCCATCCTCATGGAAAGAGGGGAAGGGCCCCTCAGTCCTGCTGAACCCCTGGCTGGATGGTCAAGGCACTTTGCTGGAAAGTTGGAGATGAGAGTTCAAACCCCACAGGCTGTGTAGGGACTGGATTACCCATCCCCCCCCGGGCCAAGTGCCCCAACTGGTAAGCTATTGAGATGGCTGGGTCCTCCTCACCTCACCTTAAAGACAGAGCATCTGTCCACAGTTCATGTGGGGTCTTCTCCTCTCAAGGAGCGTGGTTTCCAACTTGGCAGGAATGCACCAAGCCACCCCTTGAATGGCTGGGGGAGCTACATATCTCCCTGGGCACAATAAGATGGGTTTGCTGAGAGGGGGCTCTCGTTTGTGGCTGAGCGGTTGCTAAATCGTAGTTGGCCCATAGGCTGAAATTGTCTCCTGTGCTGGCCTGGTAAATATGCCATGTGGTTCCCTCATCCTGGTGTCCTTGTTGCTTTTGGTCCCCACAGCAAACAGGCCTGAGATGACCTATGAGCAGGTTTTGGGGGTAGATGCCACATCTCACGTGCTTCCTGACTTGCAAGAGGATAAAGAATACACTGTCAGCATCTATGCCATGTATCCAGAGGGCCCGAGCCAGCCGGCATCTGTGACAGCAAGAACATGTAAGAGGTTTGACTTCTTAGGTAGCATTGTGGTTGCTCTCATTTGCATTTATGAGATATGCAAACTCTCATTTGCATATTTATACTTGGCCATGTGCTGTACCCAAGAGACATGCATGCTCATTCGCATATTCACACATGTTCTCATGCCTTATCCAGGCCTCATACCTGCTCATTTCCATGCTCACACCTGCTTACCCAGGGCCAAAGCAAGTTCATTTCCACACTGATAGACTCCTGCCTATGCTCATCCAAGCATTCAGATTTTGCTCAGACCTGCTGTCACTCTCACTCCTGCATCCCTTTACCTGCACGCTCTCACTGCTGGGGATTGCAGCCTCCGCTCCGACCTATGTCATCAGGTGGAGGTACAGAAAACTCTGTTCTTGCTGTGTGCAAGCAATGGAAGGCACCATTAGGAGCTTAAATATGGGAACCAAGTTGTCCCCCACGTTTTGGCCATGCCGTTGATGGCCATCGCATCCCCTCCTTGGCCTCCAGGGTTGGCCTCTTCTTGAGGCTGCAGAAGAAGGCATCAGCTCCAGTGTCACCGTCAGTGCCCATCTCAGCAGACAGGATCATGGAGGTGGAGCTCCTTGCTGCTTGCTAGGTCTGGCTTCATGCCAGCAGGCATGGTGTGAATCCTGTCAACACGGGTCCGGGAGAGGGCAGCTGTGCATGCTACCACTTGACCTCCCCTGCTAGGTCAAGAAGACTTCACCCTCTCCCCACACTGGGGCCTGGATCTGTCAGCACTTGCCTCCTCTCCACTCCTGCCTTGTATTTTGTATTAATTCAACATGAATCCAACCAGACTGGCACAGGCCAGAGATAGTGGTGGTGACAGTAGTTTGCTTTGTTGCCTCTCTGGCTGGAAGTGACGGGTAGACAACAGCCTTTTATTAGCTGCGTTAAGGCTGACAGGCTACGATGGGATGTTTAGAAATCTCTCACACCCCTCCCCACCCCCACTGATTGACGTGCCAAAGTCAATGAGAGGCAGCCAGCAGTGCCTGAAAAGTCACCAGGTGCATGGGTTGCAAAGGCACTTTGCTAAGAGGTTTGTCCCCTTGAAATCTTCCAGTGAGGTTCCTGCCTACACGAAGCGTCTCGGTCCAGAATGAAACCACCAACACCCTCCAGGCCAGGTGGATGCCGGTCCGAGGGGCTTCTGGTTACAGGCTCACTTGGGTGTCCACAGGTACAGCATCGGGACGCAGGGGCAGGGTGGGAGTTTTATTCATGGTGATCTAGCAGCGACTTGCTCCCTCCTTTCCCCTTGCTGCTTGCTTTTGTCCTCATTGCTCTCAACAGGGCTCTGCTTCCTCTACAAGCCTCCAGCAACATCTCTATTCCATTCCCTGATCCCCTAAACCAGCCAAACCTGACCCAAATTACAGGAAGGATCCTTTCCCTGCCCTGTGGGGCTTTCCATGGTGGGGGGCACTGGATTATTCCCTGTCTGAGATGAAGGCAAGATTTTTTTTCGTGCTAAAAATACAGGATACAGAACTGGAACCCAGTGCTATCGCAGATTCCCTGTGTGACCCTGAGTAAGATCTCCTCCCCTGCCCTCGAGCTTCTCAGCCGGCGTGTCTACACGAGACGCTTATTGCGCATTAGCCTGACAACGCTGCACAGTAGCATGGTGGTTAGAAACTGTGCTAATAGCCTACGGCGCAGTGTTATTAGGCTAATGTGCATCAGAGTGACAGAAAACCTGCATGCCGACACTGCTGCACAATAACTCTAGTTGCTGTGCATTTCGTTAGTAATTCATTAAAGAAGTACTAAACTAAATGCACAGTAATTAAGGCACATTAATGAACTTGTAGACGTGCCCAGCATGTACAATACAGATAATACCCAACTTAGGCAGCGTGGGTGTAATATAGGAACGGCTAGAGAGCACTGTAGTATCTCAGAGAGGAAGGTGCTTTTGGGGTTCATTACAATAAGCTAGACATGGGTGGATCTTCCAAAATGGAAACAGGCAGCCCAAACGCCAGGTGCTTATCCAGTCCTCCTGCTTGGCTCCCATATCATTTGGCTGGATATGGGGCGAGCGCTTGCTTTTTGTCATTGGTGTGGTATAGCGACTGTCTTTTTTTCTCTGTATTTGTACAGCACCTTGTGCAACCGGGCACAGATCGGTAACTCGTATTTCTGGGGCCAGCTGCAATGCAACTAGTAATACTACCAATCATTTGCTTTCACATATGCTGTGTTCCTACCCGATGGGCTGTTGCTTGGTTTTTCATCACCTCACCTAGAAGAGAAGAGGCAGCAAAAAAAGAAAAAAGGGTGCTGACGGGAGGATTACTGTAGTTTCTCCTTTAGCTTCAGGACTCCAGGGTTCAATTTCTATTGAGGCATTAGATGAGCTTTGTTGAAATTATGCAGACTGCAGATGCAGCAGTCAGGGTGACATGGAGCTGTTTCCGTCCGTGCGTACGCAGTCTTCCCTCCTCGTGGTACTGCCCCGAATGGCCACTCTGAATCATGGCCCTGCCAGGTCCTGGCCAATGCCACGCTGCTGGCAACACTATTGCTCCCTGCTTCTTGGTAGCATGGGGGGAAATCTTATAAGGACCTGTGTGTGTGTGTGTGTGTGTGTGCGTGTGCGCGCATGCATGTGCATGTGTGTATGTAACTAATGTGATGTGTGTGTATCACCATTGCTCTCTGCTGGAGAGAGTCAGAAGTGCTCACCCAGGTGTTGTAGGTCCTCAATAGTGTTGCTAGCTAGAGGGGGTGTGTTTGTGCAACCTGTCTGTGCAAGTAATAGCAATACACTGGAAAACCCCCTAGTTGCCCGGACTCACAAGTTGGTAGCATCCTCCCAGAAAGGACCGGGGGCATTTTCTGGCATGGGTCAGAAACACTCCCGTCCCCATGATGAACATGATTGGGCATGACACCTCGAGATCAGCCCCCCACCCTGCTTATAGGAGGGTTTCAGAGGCATGATCCCCTCCGCTTCTACCCTGAATTGTTCTCCCCAGTCAGTGCGTCTCCCAGGACAGGGCTGATTTTTCTTTTCCGTGTTCCAAGACGGAGAATAGATAAAAATAAATTAACTGCGGATGTGGCGAGAATGTGGATGGAGGAGGGTTGGGAGGGGGGAAGGGAGTCTGTAGTGCTAGCTGCATGGAAAATGGGGATGTGGCACCCCCCAGTGATGGACAGAAAAATAGCAGCCCTTGGTTTTATATCCACAGCAGGGGGGAGACCCTCCAGGAACCGGGATGGACAAGGCCCTTCCAGGCATGACTGGATGGCTCCCTGTGGGATTACATATCTTGTCACTCTGGGGATGCTTAGGAGAGAGGGGCGTGTGGTTTTTTCTTATTCCCTGAAGTCATGGCTGACCCCTACTTGTCCTGCCCAAGACCCTTCCTCAGCTTCATGTCATGGGAACCATCTTGCCAGCAAAATGAGATGAGACAGGAGCCCGCTGACAGCTCTCCCCTCCCACTGGGACCCTTTCCGATCACCTGAACGAACCCCATCTTCCAGCAGGCACGAAGCATTTGACCTCCTCATCAGTCCAGGGGAAGAAAATCCCTGAACTAGGAGCAAAGCCCAGATCTTTCCCGAGGTGGTACAAGATCCCACCTCTCCTAGCAGCGTGAACACTGGTCTGAAGTCTTAGGGTAACAGCTTCTTAATCCTGGCTCTGCCACTTGCGGTCCCTCGGTGACCGTGGGGAAATGGCTTCATCTCTAAGCGCTTCGGTTTCTCCCCAGCTCTTGCACTTAACATTGGGAGCTGCGGGCCATATTGCATGTTGAACAGTGCTTAGCGCACAGGCAGCCCCCTAGACACGCTGAATCATTTTCCCCTTTATGGCTGCATCTGTGCTCATCAAAGTCCTCCAGAGCCCTTGTATTTAGTTAGCTAATCTAGGCTGTTTGTACTGGGTTGGTCTTTGCAGCACAGCGATCCTCAACAGGGAGTGCCGTGAGCCTTGTGCCTCAAGTCTAAAAAGGTTGAGAAGCCCTGCTGTAATGTCTCAAAGACCCACGGGGGGGTTATGGTAGACCAGACTATGTCTATCAAGCTGTCATGTGCCATTGCTGGTATTTACCTTCCCACCTCATGGCCCCAAGCCAGACCACGCCTGTTGGGCTAGGCCCCATAAATAGAGTCCCTTCCCAGCAGATCTTACAACCTACATAGGCAAACGGAGCAAAGAAATACTATTTCCCCCATTTTACGAAGGTGGAACTGAGGCAGGGGAGAGACCTCCAGTTCCACAGAGAGCCTGTGGCAGATCTCCTGGGTCCCAACCCAGTACCTCAGTCACAAGCACATCCTTCTCCTACGCTCACCCTTTGTGGGTTGACCTGATCGCACGCTCAGGTTGATGTAATATGGATGACCATCAGCGTATGCCACTGGGGAGGGGGGTGACATTCTGCTGTATTTTAGGGGCCATAAGCATGGAGAAGGGACCCTCATGACCGCCCCTAAAGCTTGACTCCCATATACTCCACCCCCTCTGTCTCTTCCCTTCAGAGGGCAGTGTCCATAATGTGAACCTGGATGCCACTTACACCTACTACATGATCCAGGGGCTGCAACCTGGCACAGAGTACACCGTCACCATCAACCCCGTCTTTGGGGACATAGAAGGACCTGTGGTGAGCAGAAAGGCAACCACCTGTAAGTACCCCACAGCAGGCAAGTGAGAAGGGGATGAGCTTAGAAGAATGAGTGGAGGGGAGCAGATGGGGGAAGGTTTGCCTACACAGTCTCCAGGCTATGCCAGGCGGTATCCTTGAACGCTTACGCCAGCACGTTGCAAAGGGGTGATATAGCTCCTCTTAGTGGCCTTGAGTGAAGGCCCCTGTGCTGTTCTGCATGATAATGCTGTTCTGAATAATGCTGCAGGCCTTCCTCGTGCAACACGCTCACAGTCATGCCAAGTCCCTCCTTTCCAGGATTTGGCATGTGTGGGTCAAGAGAGGGCAGATGAGGCCTGGCTCGTGGTTTCATTCCCCTGTGTAGCATGGAGATGGGGTAGAGAAGTCCGACATGTCATATCTAGCTGAAAGGAAGGGTGATGGGGGATCCAGAGGGATTGGGGCATGGGAGGGAGGGAGGATGAGTAGAGCTGGTGTGACCCATAGCAGAGTAACTTGGGATGGAGAACAAGTGTCTGTTGAAGGAAGCCAGCATGATCCTGGCATTCCCTACCTTAGATCATGGTGGGAGCAGGAACCCAGGAAATGTGACTCATTCGTCATCTCCCACAAGTCACTTCACCTCCCCAAGCCTCAGTTTCCATCAGAAAAAAAAAACTGGCATGGTGTTAGTACCTGTCTTTTGTGAGATCCGTGGGTGTGACTATTAGGGCACTGCTTGTTGGCATGAAACCTGAAAGCAGGAGAATGGCCAACCACAACCACATTTATTGGGACCTACCCCAGGGTGGCTGTGAGATCACCCGGTCTCCCAAGAAATGGCCTGCTTACTACTATTCGTACCCATACTATTGTGTATGAACCACCCTCCCATGTTGGTGCATTGCAATCCAAATGACCTGAAGGCAATCATCCGCTAGCAATCACCGCTGAATAATGTGTACTGTGCATTTTTTAATTTACACGACTGGAAATACAATACAGCTTAAAGACACTGCACCTCGGAGGTAATTGCTCCACGCACAGAAGTGTATTGATTTTAATTCAATATGGATGGCAAGTGGAGATGTGGATGACAAAGACTTATAGGAGTCCTAGGATGCTTCTGAATTAACAGCACACCAGGAGACAGTTTGGAGTTGACGGGACTCATGGTTGATTGTATTGTGGTTGTTTAGTATTCTGTTGTCTTCTACACAAGCCTGAGTCCAGGCTTACCTATGCTCCTCTTTGTCCTGGTCAGTCACAGTCATCCCATAACTAATATCCCCCAGGTGTGGCTTTCCCCCTCTCATCTCATGCATGCAACCGCCTGGTGCATTGCAGCTGTTTGTGTGTCACTTGGGGCCTGACACGCAGCCCCGTGAAGTCAATGGGAGGCTTTCCTTTGGTGGTGCCTTGGACTTGTTGCCTGATGTTGCCTGGATCTGTCTCTCACAGTGCCATCAAGTTCTGTCCAGGCTCTGAAAGTGGCCGATATAACGATCAGCAGTGCCCGGGTCTCCTGGGATGCAGTCACGGGAGCCAGTGGGTACCGAGTGGCTTGGGGTCCAACTCCAGGTGAGAGAGACAAATGTAGAGATAACCTAATCTATATCTCATACAATTCCCCCCTGGCCCACTCGTCTTCCAGCATCACTGCAGCATGAGAGCTGACATTGCAAGCACATTGAGCCAGGGCACTGCAGATACCTGGAAAGCTGGTTCACTGCTGATATGCCCACATCCCCTGAGCATTGCATTGACACCAGGGACTCTTACCTTGCAAGCTCTTGGCCTAACTCTGGGTCTATGTAAAGAACCATGGGATTCTGCCTTGGCACCAAATATGGGCCCTTTAAGTGGGTGTCTTACAGCTGGCCCCTGTATAAGAGGCCTTGCTCCAGCCAGGGTGGGCTTGTGCCAGGTTTCTGCATCCACATTAGAGTCAGTGCCCAGTACCAGAGATGAGGTCAGAGTGTGTTGCACTAGGCCTTTCCAGTGTTTTATCAGGATCCCAAAAGAGCCTGAGAGAAGCAGAGAATAAATTAGAGTATCCCAGAGGCTGCACTAACTTATACTGGAGTGGTGAGTGGCGCAGGGCATATGAGGGGCACAGAAGTCCCACCTTAGCCTTTTCCAGCCCTGTCCCCCTAACAAAAACAGGCATGCAGGTGCTGAGAACAGGGCCACTTGAGCAGAGGCATAGCCCACATGCTTCTGATCAGTGGCTTTTCCCATGTAGAGGCTATACATGCTGCAAGTTAGTGGCAGCCCTGGCTCCGTCCACCTCAAAGCAGTCCTGTCCACTTGGGGTGGGGGGGTGGGGGGTTGTTGGTAGAAACTGGTTAAGTTTGGAAAGCTGGGGTTTGTGGTCAAGCCCTTCTAGGGCCTTTGTACACAGCACGTTTTTTGCCCTTTCTAGCACTGCAACTGAGTGACTGTTTGCACAAGCAGGATTTTTGGACACTTTAAAAGTCTTTCTGGCGCATTAAAGTAAAACTCCTCAGATGTAGTTTAGTTTGGCTCACTAGGAATTAAAGCATTGCTTTCATGGATTCATTGCATGCAAATGCAAAGGCACTCAAAGACGTACAATGAGCCTCTGTGTCCACTAGATGGCTGTGATTTTTTGTAGTTCACCCCTTTGAATTGCTTTCGCTTTCAAATTGCTTCTGCCTTTTTTTTTCTTGTGCGGTTTGCCAGCTCCCTGTGGCATGGGTACGGGCACAGGGCATGGGGCACAGGGCACAGGGCACAGGATGGAGGGTGCCAGGTTGCGGGGGGACAGCATGGGACCATCTTGCTCTTCTGCAGTACTGGCTGGAGACCGCGCTTAATTCATTCGAAAACCTAGTGCATGCAAACACTGAGCAATGCTCCAAAATAAACAAGTTTAAATTTTATAAACTTATTTAACTTAATGAGGATTAAAACCTGTGGTGTGTGCAGGTGCCCCTAATCAGCACTTCCTGGGGTGTTTAATTCTTCTGCTTCTTGGAATGCCTTACAAAACCCTCACCATGTAGAAGTTTTCTGTGATGTTTCTATGGGGGCCACTTCCTCAAAGGAAACACAAATGAACTATCAAGGCCACTTCACAGGTAGGAGACAAGACTCACTGGTTCCCCCCACTGTCCCCACCCACAAAGCCATTGACTCCTCCTTCCTTTTGGCTCCTCCCTTCAACAGAATTCTTTGGTCGAGACCGACTGCGACAGACGGTTGTGAACAGCTCCGTCACAACCTACCAGCTCCGAAGCCTGGCCCATGACACGGAGTATGTCATCTCCCTCTATGTGCTCTTTGGTTCAGTGGAGGGACCTGGGATCATAACTTCAGCCAGAACATGTGAGTACGTATGCACTGCTGAAGGAACATGGCCTCTGTCCCTGCCCAGGAATTGATGGCTCCTGTGAGAACTGGCAGTAACCAGAGCAACAAAAAGCACCTGAGACAAAATCTTTGTTTTTTTGTAGGGAGGGCGTATATAGCCTAATCAGTAGTGGTTGGAAACCATTTGGTTTACAGTCAACACCTCTCATTCCAAAGCAACCCGATCTGTCCATCGACTGCTGTGTCCATCCACTGCTGAAATGCAGTTCTTGCTGGAGTAGAACTTGGCAACACAGGGTAGTGTCATACTACAGAAACTGAGAAAAAACATTCACGGCTAACAAACCACAGTATCAGGGCTGAGGTTTGGGCAGTCCTGTCTGACAGCCACAGCCAGAATATAAAGCAGGTAGCTATGGCACTGATCCAAGGGTCAAGAGGAACAATGGTCTCAAGTTGTAGTAAGGGAAGTTTAGGTTAGATATTAGGAAAAACTTTCTCACTAGGTGAAACAGGCTACCCAGAGAGGTGGTGGAGTCTCCATCCTTGGAGGTTTTGAAGTTGTGGCTACACAAAACTTTGGCTCGTATGACCTAGTTGGGGATGGTCCTGTTTTGAGTGGGAGGTTGGACTAGATGAGACCTCCTGAGGTCCCTTCAAGCCCTCATTTTCTATGACTGTAACACCAGAAGCTGGAGCTAAGATAACAGCCAGAGGTCAAAAGCCCAAATGTGAAGATCCAGAGCATGAGGCAGAGGCCATGTGGCTAGGAACAGGAAATTAGGCTTGTGCTAGGAAGGGAGGGAACAGGAGGTGAGGGAGAGAACAGGGAGACATGATGTTCAGCATCCTGGAGAGACTTCCTTGTAAGCCCCTTAAATAGGTGAGCTGCTTCCTATGAGTGATGAACCAAGGGAATAATATCCAGCAAGGTCAGGGCACATGAGCCTGAGCCACCTTGGCAACATGTGGGGATGAGTCCATATGTGTGCAGGGGAAGGCACAAGGTAATTAGAGTTCAATACTAAAAAACCAAGCCATGGGAACCAATAGTGATCAGCACTAGCCAGGACTGTGGGGTTGTATTTCATCCCAAAGATGAGGCTATCCTCCTGCTATGGTCTCAGTCCCTCACTGCCTACAGGGTCTCCAACACTTCAGGGTTTCTCGTGGTATCTCCCACCCACATTCTCACCCAACCTAATCCAAGCTAATTTGGGAAATGAGAAGAGATCATGGAAAACACTGACCCAGGTACCATATTTCCTTGTATATCACACTCCCTTGAATATAATATACACCTTATTTTTTAAAGGTAGAATGAATTAAAAAAGATTGTTTCTTGTAGTAAGTAACTGGGGAGCAGCAGATAAGGGGCCACACCTGCACATTGTGTTAATCTCCAGGGATTGCTGCAGATTTAACTTTTTACTGTTGCCTGGTAAATGGGGAAAACTGCTTTTACCGTATTTCTTCCATATAATGCACATTCAGTTTCCCAGCAGCTGGTTTTTGAGGAAAAGGTGTGTATTTGTACATGAGAAAATATGGTATATAGTTTACAGCGTGCTCGCAGTCAGTCTAGATCCTTGAATGGTGGAAATCAGCATAGCTGCCTTGAAACCAGTGGCGTTACACTGATTTACTCCACTTGTGGATCTGTGCTATGATTTCACAGGAAGAATATCTTCAGGGTGACATCCCTGGATGGAACAGAGCGGCACAGAGAGACTAATTGCTGACCGTAATGGCCCCTGCTTCTCATGCCATTAGCAACAAGAGGCCTGATGGGTGCTGGCATTTACTGAATGCAGCATTAATCAGGAAACCAGCTCATGTTGCTTTCTGTTGCAGCTCCACTTGGCTATGTGTCCAATTTCAAGGTGACGTCCTACACAAGCACATCCATTTCTCTCGCATGGAGCGTCACAGCTGCAGCCACCAAATACAAAATCACCTGGAGCCCAACAGGAGCAGACGGAGGTGAGCAGAGAGTAGTTCTTCGGTCTGTTTTCATGGTGCACTGATTGGTTGGGAGCACAGAAGGCTCTGTGCAGATGGAGTGCATTTAAGCCACTAGCCCACTTGAAAGATCTCATAGCCATGGGAGAGGCCTTTCGTGTAGCTTTCTGGGCTCTGTGGCAGTCTCCACCCGACCTTCAGTGCTAAGAGTATGAGCCTCTACCAATGTTAGACTCATCCCATAGAGTCCAGCTGTTGGCTCTTTAGTCTTTGTAAGGGAAGAAGCAGTTTAGCCAGGGAGCGCTGCAGGCTAGGCAGGGCACCACACCTGCCAGTCACTGGGGCAACAAGATAATAGAGCAATTAGGCAACTGCCATTGATTGCTGTCCAGATGTAGGCAGGGCCCTGGGAGCTCATAAGCCCGCAGGTGAAGCTGGCTTAGGGGGGTTACTCTCCCTGGCAGCCCTAGGGGAAGGAAATCCTGCTCAGGAGAGCCACCCAGAGATGTCTGACTGCCTGCGCCCACTGCCGGCAGGAATAGTTGAGCCCAGGATGCTGTAATAGTGAGTGAAGGGGCTTGTGTTTATGTTACTGTTTTCTACCAGTGGTTTGGGGTGAGGCTGGAAGGGGAAGTAAAGAGGCCTCATTAGTGCCCAGGGGGTACTCGACTGCCTTGAGCCCTGGCAGGCTCAAGCACACAGAAGCCAGGGGTCTGGTGACTGGAAGGGACAAATGAAGCTAGTACCTCAAAGCCAGGTCCAATTCAGTGGTCCTAGGCTAGAAGGCCTAGCAAGATTGAAGGGGCAGAGGCTAAGGAGGCCAAAGCCCCAGCAGAGGGACAACATACCTGTAACACTCATGTGGCATGGGGCCTGATAAAGGGGAGGATTTGGAGCTGTGCAATTAGCCCTTAAGGCCTTGGGTGCCCTGCCAGGCATAGCTGACTACAGAGGGCCAGCCAGGGGCCTGGGACCAGTGAGGACCAGTAGGGTGCCGGGGACCCTAATGGTGGGGGGGTGGTTGGGACCGGAGCTATGCAAAAGCTCATGAGCAGCCTCCCTAGTAATTTATATGTCCATCTAGACGTGGCAGGTGAGACAGGAGGGTACCCTAGGGACAGAGTGGGGACATTGTTGCAGAGCCACCGGGGAGCATCACGGCCACCGCTGGGACCCCGATGTGTTACAGTCTTGTTGGCACAGCAGCTATAGGGAGGCAAACTAAACCAGTGTCGCTCAAGCTTTTGGCCCCCAAGGACTGGATGAGTGGCATAAGACCAGTGCATGTGACAAGATTGGATCCAGCCCTGCATGCTGCATGTCCAGATCAGGCCTGCATCACTCCTACCTGGCCCTGCATGCCCAGATCAGGCCTGCACCACACCTAGCCAGATCTGATGCCCTCACTTGCCACATGTACCTGATTGTGTCCCATGTGGTCTCAACTTGGCCTCAAGCGCTGTGATCAGGCCTCTTACTGCCCCGTGCTTCTGATCAGCTTCTTGCCCCCCTGCACACCTGATCTGTCACTCAGGGCCATGCTATCTGGCCCACAGGACTGCCCACAGGTCTGAAAACTTGGTATCAGGGGAGTGGTGATTAATGCTGCCACTGATTCCCTGCTGCTAAATTTCTAGACCTGTGAGGAGACCCTCAGGCCAGATTACATGGCTCTGAAGGCCAGCTTTGGCTGGGAGTTGAGCACCCCTGTCCAGAGATGGGTGACAAATGGGTTAGAAGGAAAGCCCTATGAGTACAGGTTGATAGATTAAGTGTGTTTAGCTTGCAGCAAAGATGATATAAGGAAGGACGTAATAGCTGTACGGAAAAGGTGAAATAACTGTCCAAGGGGATGGAAAGCACTCTGTCCAAATTCATGGACAACACCAAATTATGGGGCAAAGTAAACACACTGGAGGGCAGGGAGCAGATTCAGGTGGACTTGGACAAATTGGGAAAGTAGGCAGAGCAGAATAGGATGCAGTTTAGCAAAGATAAGTGCAAAGTGCTGCATCTATGGAAAAAGAATCACCAAAGATCAGATGTAACGAGCAGCAGCACCCGGGTCTCCTGGGATGCAGTCACAAGAGCCCGTGGGAACCGAGTGTCTTGGGGTCCAATTCCACAGATTGGGAGGTGACTTTCTAAGCAGCACAGCAGCAGAAAGGGATCTCAGAGTCATAGTTGACTCCAAAATGAACATGAGTCATCAATGTAAGGAAATGATCAGTAAAGCCAACTGTACTCTTTCATGCATTAGAAGGATGAAGCAGGTCAAAGGAGGTGATACTTTCCCTTTATGCGGCATTGGTAAGACCGCAACTGGAGCACTGCATCCAGTTCTGCGCACTGCACTTCAAGAGGGTTAAGGATAACCTCGAGAGGGTCCAGAGGAGGGCTACTTGTATGGTTAAGGGCCT